ATTCTGGAGTCTTTAGGATATTGAGTTTTAAAAGCCGTTTATTTTAGGTCTTTATTTCATAGACCGAGAGGTTTGAGGGGTGGGATAGTTGTTATAGAATACAATTGAGAATTTCACGTCATACTTATGACGTGAAATCAAGATGGGTGACGGCATTCACGTGTCTATGGTCTATGGTATGCATGATGTCTATAGTCTCCTGTAATCTCTTAACACCAGGTGGGCCCTGAGCTTGTCTACGCATCTAAGCAATTAATAAAACAATCGACAACGTGATTCAAACCCCTATAGCTAAAAACGAAAATTTATGCTAAATAATATTTCTAAATATTGAAAATAATAATAAATGAAATTATTGCTTTAGCATTAGCCATTTGAAATATAATTCATCTATAGTTAGCTAAGAATTAAGAAAACTTTAGAATTTGAGACTGTGTTTGTAAAATAAGAAATTATTTTGCACAAAACTACATATCACAGGTAATGCGCAGTTTCTATTTAACTATGTCGCATTAAAAACTATGTAGCCCACAAATATTATTCTCAATATATATACGCTTTGTAATGCAACAAAATAAATCAAAAATATCTTATAACCATTGATAACGTGAACCGCGCAGCCACGAACTTACTGAATACGAATTTCCGCAACATCGTAAATGAAACAATATAGCTCGAATGTTTAATTAGCACATTGCGGGCTCCGGCGGGCGCTGGGGGTGTCCGGGTGGCGGGAGGTGTTATTCATTAAAATGTTTGTGGAAACTCGTTTAGCGCAGTTGCGGACGGGCGGGCGTTGCTTCGTTTCAGGGCTTGGCCGTATTTTTATAATTTCTATTTTCCGGTATTAAGTACCAGAGCCTGTTCTCGTTGAACCCGTTGCTTGCGACGAACGGCTCGGCGAGTAGATTAACCCACAGACTCAGCCCACTGAGCTCTCGCCGGATCTTCTCAGCGGGTCGCGTTTCCGATATATTACTGGTGGTAGCAGCGCTTGTGAGTTCACACGGGTAGGTACGACCACCCTGTCTATTTCTGCCGTAAAGCAATAATGCGTTTCGGTTTAAAGAGCGGGGCAGCCGTTTTAACTATACTAAGACCTTAGAACTCATATCTCAAGGTGGGTGGCGGCATTTACATTGTAGATGTCTATGGGCTCAAGTAATCACTCAACACAAGGTGGGCTGTGAGCTCGTCCCATCGAAGCGATAAAAAAAACTTTTAAAGGTACCTAGAGCAATAAGAATAATTCCAAGGGTTTGTTTCACTGTGGAGAATCGTAGCTCCATAACTTTGTTGTCGTAGCCACCGCAATTTATATCTCCGACCTAGACGAAGGGGCAACGAACAGCTGCCCTCGCCCTAAGCATGCCATTTCGAACCCAACCACTCTCTGTGCTTTTAAGCATTCCAAGCACCAGTCATCGTTCTCGTTGAAATTGTCCAAGATTTCGACGTACAACTTAACCCACAAACAGAGTTTTCTCACCGGATCTTCTCAGTTGATTCCGAGTCCGATCCGGTGATATATTGAGAGAAGCACTGCTAATGTCAGAGTAGACGATAGAAAACCCTCTCAGCCTGAGCCCTGTAAGCTCGCCAAATAATCGAGGCGAAGCCAGAATAGCCGCCCAAGGCTACTGTTAAGTGGTGACAAAAGTAGCTCTTTGAAGTTCAGTCCTCACTAATTTCTTCATGCTCCAGTATTCAGCTTTGTGGAGTGCTACATTCACAATAATAGTGTTAAGAATAAGGCTCCATATGTCCGAGTTCAACCAATCCGCGATATGTTCTTGCGTCCCACCACAGTTCAAGTATTTGACTTCTACGTAATGGACTGTAGATATCTGGAAATTGTAAACTACCTTTATATTCGGAGTAAGCAGGGGTGGCAAATTTTCCTACGGGAAATAGCAAACATTCGAATTGCTAGAAGAACACTTGCGTCTTTCATAATTTGTAAAATAATGTAGCACGCTGCGAACAACAAATCACATCGTTGCGTTACTTTTCCAGATTGAAAACAATAATATGATCAGTGATGTTCTTTTTTTTTGGAAACTATCTTACCTGACAAAAATCCTAACCTAGAATACAAATCGTTACTCACAAAATNTTTTTTTTTGGAAACTATCTTACCTGACAAAAATCCTAACCTAGAATACAAATCGTTAGTCACAAAATTAGTAAATATTATTTAATGTTTAAATATTTGTAGCTCCCAACCCTAAAGTTCACTGCGTCTAGGCGCGCGACGGTAGTAGACTTCATTTACTCCTAATAATTGCAGTTTCCCTTATTTCCCTTCCCACATCGCTTACTTCATTTATGTTTACTAAATATTAGTCTTATTTTTATTGTTCATAAACAGTATAGGCAAATCATTTTGTAAAAAACCCTCATTAAAATTAGGTTGTTGTCTTAATAAGATCTATTTCTGGGACTAGTCTGGTTCGAACAGTGGGACAACCACTAACACAGTTGGAAGGTGATCGTTGGGTGAAGGTGTACGTTGGGATGTCTAATAACTACAGATGTCCCGAATCCTGATCACGCAGGAGCAAGTCACCGTCGTCGCCCTAGACACGTCCTTACGGATCCATCAGATCCAATAACTCTTGCATTAAATACCTTCAGCTCTAACACTAGGAGCAGGCTGAGGAACCCCGGTATCCGTACTCGTCGAACTCGACAAAGAGGTCGACGTGCAACCTAACCCATGCATCAGCTCGCTGAGTTTCTCGCCGGATCTTCTCAGCGGGTCGCGATTCCGATCCGGTAGTAGATTCATTCAGTTACTCTTGAGTTGTTAGGTCTCCTTCGGAGGCGCTCGGGCAGCTGTTAGCAAATCCCACCCCTTCTGGCTGAGCCTTTGCTCACCCACCTGTCCTGGTGAAACTGGAAAGGCCTCCGGGCCACCAGTAAATATTAAATCATAAAAAAAAAACTACAGATGTATTGTGAGCTCGTCCACTCATCTGGTGCAGGGGTGAGAAACCTTTTTAATCAATGGGCTAATTTTAATTTTTTTTTTTTTTGGCGGGCCGCAAATAGATCAACTCTTATTAATAATTTACGAAACTTTATTTTTTTATTAAAAACAAACAAGAAAAGAACAGAAAAACGAATTGATGGGAGAAACAAAGAAAGAGATAAAATAAATTTAAAAATGCTTAGCGGGCCGCGTGAAGCTTATCCTTGATCTAGTGGATAAAATAAAAAGAACACATGAAATATGTCTGAATGTGTGTTGCTTCATTCATGTTGTGGGACTTATAAATATGTAGTACAATTTAGAGAAGTTTTTAGTAGCAGAAGTAGTACGTTTTAAATTTAAACACTTTGAAGTATAAAAAAAATTAAGTGCCCATGTAAAATTGAATTGGAATTGTTGAATCAATTCAACAATAAATGAAAAAAAAACTCTTCCGTTGCACGGAATTGTAATTTGAATTTCCGCAGCGACACCACATTTTTAAAGTTTAATGACAACAGAGAGAATTCGGTAAAATATTAAAACTTACAAAATGATTAATAAACAAATTAGATACCTAAAGTTTTCCAAAATAAATTCAAACATACCCTGGTAAATTCGATCGGTAAATCCGGTGGTAGATTCTGCAAAGCACTGCCCTCGCTTGGGCTAGTGTTAGCAAATTCACTAAGGATGAGCCTGTGAGCTCACCTACCCGTCCGCGCCTAGCTTAGCTTATTCTAGCCCGTCAGGCTACCAGCGAATAGGAAAAAAGAAAAAACTGGCATTGTTTAGGGCATTGACGCTCCGCTGCCTACCGTAACAAACTTTTCTTAACTCTTGTTTGAATGAAAACATATTGTAACACTCGAGAAATACCATTGGGGAGTTCATAGTTCATTAGAGTTTCAACGTAAGTGGAAGGAAGTCAAGATCACTGAAAATGCAACAGTATTTATATGTATATGCTCTGTATAAGTAAGTGATCAATAGTTATGAACGAGTGATATTTGCTTGGGTGGTGGATGATATCATCTCCAATTAGCTTCCCATATAGTCTTTTTTCATTTTTCTTTTAAATTTCCACTTTTTTAGTTTTCTCGTAGTAGACAAGATGCAGACGTCCGTAACCACGAAAACTGTAAGCTCGTTCGAAAACTGTAAAATTCGAAACGTCAGAACTAATATGATTAAAATAAAAAACGCGAGATTAAGCCTCAAAAGTATTTTTAATTATCGACTTATTCTTTGTGTATTTCCTTTTTTTTTCCGCTGACATGTATCAACATGTTCAAAGCCTGATACCGCCGCCAACCCTAGCCGTAATTGCATTGACATAACCGTTCCAATTACTGACGACTTCGCGGTAAAACAAATTTGACAATGGTATTGACTCTTAGAACAAAAATGATAATAAAAATTATATTATTATCCCACAAATTCCACACACAAATATTTATTGCAGTACAACGTTTATCCCAGCTATTCGTCCTAATGTAAAATTTTCATCATTTCATTTGATATAATTTATTTTCATTAAGGTAAAATCAGCGGCGCTTAAATTTCAGTTTGTGTTATAAAATTTATATTTACAATCACACCATAACTTAATCTACACCTATTAAACGCATCTATTGAGCAATCATCCTGATTGGCTAGATTTTCCAACCCCTACCGATTTCGACCAATCACGTAATCCCATTTTTGTCTCGAGGGGAGGAGTCAAGGGGGTTTTCATCAGAAGTTAACTGTGATTTCAAGCAGTGAACATCAGAGCTTTTTGGGATTAGCACCCCTTGTGAAAGTCTCGAAGTACCGCGTATTTCGAAAAGTTTTAAACACTTTCAATATGAGTATTGGATGAGTTTCATTTTCTTGTATTCTATTCTGAGTCTTATTCGTGTTTGAATTGCAAAACATTGCCTAAATATGCTACTCTTTCTTCATTTACATTCTAGTTACATGTAGGTTAATGTTGTCTTAAGAAATCTACGGTCAAAATTAGCCAATCATTACGATTCCTGAGATGGCTGGGCCATACCTTTCTCCGCTTCCCGGGGACCTCCTAACTGAGTACATGTTTGGTCGGCGACGTCAGAGGAGGAACAGAACTACCTTTACTCCTCAACAGCTCAGCGAACTAGAGTCGCTCTTCCAGAAGACGCACTATCCAGACGTGTTCTTGAGAGAAGAAGTCGCTCTAAGGATCAGTCTGTCCGAGGCGAGGGTGCAGGTTAGTTTCTAAGATAACTATTTTAAACTAGCCTTCCGCTCGTAATTTCACCCGCGTATCACGTGGAGAGAGACGTGTGCTTAGCATTGGAATGAAACTGAAGAGTAGGTATATTCTTTTACAATGCTCAAACTATGAATCGTTTCAGTCTTTTGGGCTTGAAAAGTAACAGACAAATACAAGTTCTTACATCTAAAATATTATCAATGTGAATTCCTTTAAATGATAGATGTTTTAGTAACAACCGATTTTACTGAAACGAAGAAGCCTATGTTCTGCTCCAGATTATTTCTAAGCATCTGTCAAGTAGTAAGTAACATCAGTTATTTGGAAATCCATTGGGTAATCCCAGAGATATACGCGAAGTAACAAACAAACAGATAGACAGACAAGCAGAAAATAAGCCTGAAATTACGATTTAATATAACATTATTCTTCTTTAGTTAGTTACTTATTTTTTATTGTTATTGCGTGCCTTCAATGTTTAATTGTACTTTTTTATTTGACATAGGTAAATGAAAGATTAACGCAGGTGACCGATTTTTATTGGAAGCAGAAATCTAAGTTAAAGAGATAAATAGATCTACATAATAGGTTTATGGTGTGTCTTTTCACAAAATTTTATTGGAAAAGTGACGTGATTGTAGCAGCTAGACATTTCAACTGGCTAATGAAACTATGGAAAGTACAAACAAAAATCGAACAAGTAATTTTATTGAACTGGCTACGAATTTTAGTCAGAACTCAATGAAGAAGAGAATTGAAAAAGAACGAGTAAGAGATAATTTAAAAACTCTTGCGTAATTCATACGGGCTGGAAGCGAAGCCTTAATGAGCATTTAAAGGCATCCTTGCGCGGTCTAGATCCTATGGATATAAATGTTTGTCTTTTTCTCGTGTCACTATTTCATTTCCAAATTACATCACCGCTAAAAAAGTTTTCGCTTTAATAAAACAACGCTACATTTTCAAAGGCAGCAAGCTAGCATGTCTTCTTTTTTATGGGTGCTTATTTCTGTCACAAAGCAATGATTGCTTTGTGACAGAAATAACAGCGTGACAAATGACAGCGTTCAAGTTTAAAGGGTGAAAAAGCCTTTATGTATGTAAAGAAGTTGTCTGCCTCATGTCTCAAGATGGGTAGCTGTATTCACATTGGGGTTTCATTCGTTTAGTAACAACTAACACGCAGGGGCCAGTGAGAGTATGTATATTAAAAAAAAATTAAAATGTTCTAGGCCTTATTACATATATTTGCATATTCCATAATCATAGCATATTCAAACAGCAGTTTTCGGAGTACCTCGAACAAAAATTAGTTTTATGATGTCGTCGAAGCTTTTCAATATGTGGATACTTTTTGTCAGTTTTATTTTATGTCGAGATTAGAAAACGCAGTTCAGAGATAACTCTAGCTGTTTCTGCTGCGATGCGTTGTTTTTTTTCTCCTGCTTTCACAAGTCGTACTCATTATAAAACTACTTTTTTACGGTTTAACCTAGCGTTCATTATTTTCATTTTCCTGTTTCCGGCATTCCGAATATTTTGCGTTTTACTTTGGTTCGTAGAAGACGCAAATAAACATTACAAGTAAAACTCGAATGGTTCAATAAGAAAAGGTCCCTTTTAAAATACGTATTTTCAATGAGTTTCCGGTATGAAACATTTCAAGTGCTAATTATTATGTCCGTTGACCTTTCGAAATTGGTAAGAAGATAAAAAAAGTAAAATTTAAAGTTTTAACTTTGTTTTTTCATAAAGACCTACCTATTCACAGTTAATTCAACTATGAAATATTATTTTTATTAAATAGTATATTATATTATTATGAAATATTATTAAATATTAGTTAACTGCGCGTTATAAGCATTTTAATCGATGACAGTTAAAGGTATAATTAATAAGGTCTTACTCAATTTAAAATTTATGAATTTTTTGACTCTTCTGATAACGGGCTAATAAAACTTCGATAATTATCTAGTACGAATAAGATAATATAGTTTACATGGAAAAAATAGAACAACTAAAGTACAAGTAATATAAAGACAATCTCGTATCAATCAAATATGACACACATGACTTAAAGACGGAAAAACTAAACCATGTTTTACCAACTGCCTTATCACACGCTAACTTCTATGCTGCCGAAGATATCTTTATTTTTCACAGGCACATAATTATCTTTCCTACTTCTGGTTTTAATATGCTAAGTAGCAAACGTGTGGCTCAGTACTATAAAGTGGACCATTCGTGAGAGGTTATAATTTCGACAGGACATTACATCTTGTTCGTCATCGTCGCCTCACTGCTGAGGATCGCGACTACATATGACTTTCCTCCTTAGTGTTCGGTCATGGGTGGCATAGACTGAACAGTATAGACTACCACCAACCGCTTTCTTAACCAAATCTCACCATTTGGCTGGTATTATGTCCACGGCGCGCTTGCCTTCTATGCGACCCAAAATTATGAGCTTCTCTAATTGATGTCTGGGAGACCGCACTGTGTGACCGAAGATAACACGTTAATGGCAAATGTCACAGAGCCTTATTTGGATGTTTCTCTTAAAATGAGCTCTTAAATGCTCGAAGTCGTCGTCGTCGTCGTTGAAGTCGTCGTGGCCTAAAGGATAAGACGTCCGGTGCATTTCTATGTAGCGATGCATCGGTGTTCGAATCCCGCAGTCAGGTACAAATTTTTCTTATGAAATACGTACTTAACAAATGTTCACGATTGAGTTCCACGGTGAAGGAATAGCATCGTATAATGAAAATCAAAACCGCTAAATTATAATTTGCGTAATTAATGGTGTTAGGACCTCTTGTGAGTTCACACGGTAGGTACCACCACTCCACCTATTTCTGCCGTGAAGCAGTAATGCGTTTCGGTTTGAAAGGTGGGGCAGCCATTGTAACTATACTGAGATTTTAGAACTCCTATCTCAAGGTGGATGGCGGCATTTACATGGCAGATGTCTATGGGCTCCAGTAACTTAACACCAGGTGAGCTGTGAGCTAGTCCACAAATCTAAGCAATAAAAAAAAACCTGACAGTCCATGGTATTCAGAGCATCCCCTGCCACACCCACATTTTAAAGCCATCGATATTTCTGCTATCGCGGCTTTTCATGCACCATGTCTCTGCTCCGTAGAGGAATATGGAAAAGACCAGCGCCCGCACCAAGCACGTTACATATCCAGTTTTTAAATATCTCATAAACGATTACTTGATCAAGAGAGTCCACGGTGTGCGATACACCATGCATTTTCATGGTAAATTGTAAGAACGTCAGGCCACAGTTTGAACTAAAGATTAAAGAAACTGCTTATTAGCTAACGAAAGAAAAAAAGTACACAGTGTCGAATCAAAGAAATCAAAACAAGTGGTAGTAACTCTGCACATCCATAACATAGAGCAGATTTCGCTGGAAAAATTGATTAAATTGTGTTCCTTGTATTGTAATTTATTATCATACCTTAGCTGGGAGGCGGGCTGCGTTAGATCACTCATTGTGGGGAACCTTTGGGTAGGCCTGTGTCCGACAGTGGACGGCTGTGGGCTGATAATGATGATGATGACCAGAGAGCAGGTCTCATATAGCCCTACCTGCCTACAGCCTTAGGTTGTTATTACGAACTTACTAAATCGGCAAATGTTTATAAATAATAATTTCCTTTTGAATAAAGCAGCACATAATTCCCCACCGCTACGATTGCACCATTGCACCAGCCAAAGGTATCCATGAACGATGGTAGCCAACAATAAAAATTTTAACATTAAAGCTTTGAAATGAAGAAAACTGTTATTTTTGACATTTAAATTATGGCTAATTTCACACCTTTTGAATGATTTTATAATATCAAATTTAAGGTACAAATCATTTTTATTGAATTAAATGACACCTAAATATTATATATCACAATATGTTCTCTACCACTAGATAAATACAAAGAGTAGAGAAAGAAGAAAGAAAAGCGGAGAAGAGGAAATACAAAAAAATTGACGCTAGAGCTGTGACGAGGATTCACTTTATTCGATATTGAACAAGATATTTATTTTAATAGTTTTTTCCTTTAACAGGTATGGTTTCAGAATCGTCGAGCAAAATGGCGGAAACAGGCCCGTCTGCAGCTGCTGCAAGATGCTTGGAGGATGAGGTGCCTCGGACTCGGGACACCACCGCTACCAATGCCCGGTAAACTTAGTAATACCTATGCTATATAATATTTAATACTAGAGAAATTTTAAACTTACTATTATTATTATCACACATAAGATAGGGGAAAAATGGCAAACGCTCATCTGACCCCAAATTAGGATTCTCTGTACTATATGAGATTATTGATAAGTCGATTTTTACAAACTGTTTTAATTACTAATTGTTTTTTTTTATTGCTTGGATGGGTGGACGAGCCTACCTGATGTTAAGTAGTTATCGGAGTCCATGGACGTCTACAACGTAAATGCTGCCACCCACCTTGAGTTATGAGCTCTAAGGTCTCAATATTTTTAATAAAACGGCACGGCAGAAATGGGCAGGGCGGTGGTACCGACCCGTCCGGACAAGATATCCTACCACCAGTAAAAGTTCTGAGTTAACAAACTCAATTGCTCTTGATAATACGGACATTCCAGTATTAAACCGTTCAATTTATCTTTCGCATCAATGCCATAATAAATATAAAGCAGTCGTTTAACAAATCGTACATTTATTGTAGCAGTCGACGATTACCCCGTTTTGATATGACCCTTATATCTTTCTCACACACTGGAATGTTTATTATTTGATGTTCGATTTCAGGCCACGCTAAGCCACCGGATTCCTCACCGGAAACACCGGATTCGCCCAACGACGGAAACTCGCCTGAAAGATCTAACACCGAAAACGGTGAACTCACTGGTTCGCGTCAAGAGCCCTATATACACAATGCAAACATGCAAGAACCTATTCCACAGCCCCCACACGACCTTCCAATGCCGATGCCGTACAACGAAGAAGCTAGAATGATGCAGCAATCTTTTCCGTTTACATCACTCCTCATGCCCCAAATGGATTCAGAAGTGGCTCCGACAGACTTAAGAGTTCTAGCCGGTAAAAACTGTCCCTGTAATGAAGAGGAGCCTCAGGATCTAGCATATCGTCCCCGACGTGAGAGGGAAAGTGATACCGATAGTGACGCGGAGATAGATCTAACATCGCATTCTTCTAAAGACGACGATTTGAGAGAATCGGAGAGGCTGGCGAATAGAATCGCCACTAGCATCTTTAGAAGCGACACTGTTTTGCAAGATCTCGTACCAAATGATTTGAGTTTAGCGAATAAAGGGAACGATAGAAATCAGAACGGTGTATCGATGTAAGTGGTTATCGATGCAAGCAAAACCAATATTTAACCTATCGACGTATTGAATTAAAGTTATTTTATTGAAAGACAAATGAATCCCGGTCACGATTTAACGTGAATGGCGCTATTTGTATAAACATCTTCACGTTGAATTTCCTAAATAACGTATTCTAAACAAACCTTTTAGTGACATATACGAAAGACCACAAAATTTTTTTGAAGCCTAATCTGATCAGCCGTTCACTAGTAAAACTCCATCGGGCATGTGAGAATTGTCTTTATTTATTTAGATCTCCCTTTTCGTACTTTTTGGAACGCAAGTCGGGAAACATAGTAATGAGAAAACATTAATTAAAGCTACACTTGTTATTTTTCTGTAATTAAATTTTTTTTAAACTATTTTTAACTCATTATAAATATTTTTATCGATATGTAATTTATTGTATTAATGATTTTTTAGTATTTTCAATATGTGTATATACGGGCAATAATTTTGAGTCAATAATACAAAAATAAACGGATAATGTCGTAGTGTAAGTTGTACGTATAGTTCTACAAAGAGAAATAAAAAAATTGTAATCAATTAAATTTTACTTATAATCCTCATAAATATGTATTGTAGATATTTATGTGAATAAGAAATAAAACAATTAAATCAGCCTTTTTTTATTTAAAAGTAATTTTAAAAAAAACCTTTATAATAAAACTATTGACTTGATATTTTTTTTATAATTTATATTATAAATAAGCCCTATAAATAAAAATAATCAAATAGAAAAATTTACTTTAATTTACTACATTGTGAAATACTAGATTAATAATTCTATATACCTCCTTATGATTAGTTTCAAACAATCAATAGTTACAAAACTTACAAATGCAAAACTGTGATATGTTTATATACAATTCGTTCATTATAAATTCTTCGCTTCGCTCCTATTCAACCTAAATTACAATAAATAAAAAATCACATCGCTTTTCATAATTTTGGCAACACTGGCATGTTACTAAACTTCACAGAGTAGCTAAGTATTAAAAAAAACACCTTTGTATAGATTATACTAGCTGGTGTTCACAATAATCGACCGCAGTGATGACAGATTCAATTAAAAACATACCATAAACAATGAACAGTTATTTTTAAACGAAAAATACTCGTTCGTCTTCTGCCCTCTTCTGCTTATTAGTTTTAAAATCATAATTACAACTAGTTCATTATTTAGATTTATTAGGTATGAACTTATTAAAATTTATTAAAATGTGCAATGTGTCCGTGTCGTGGCCCCCGGGCGCGGCTAAGAACTAGAACTGTTGGTAGATAGAGCACACTCTTGAATTACACTCCTACTAATTAGTTTCTTCTTTTATAAATACCTAAACTTTGTCTTTTAAGGCAACTAAAGTTTTTTTTTTTTAATTCTACTAAGTCTATATCGCATTTATTGTTTTCATTTTAGAATTTCAAATGAAGAAAGTTTAGACAGTTGGTGTGTGTAAATATGCGTTTAAATGTTATTAGCACAATATTCAACGGGGCACGAAAATGAAAATATCTAAAATTATGAAGACAATAAATGCAAATATCAAACCGCAAAAGTAATTTTAACTATCATCTCCCGGAAATCGAACAAAATAATGTTTGTAATAATAATATTAATTCTAATAAACAAAAAAAAACCAGTCTTTTAAAGAGTTCATAAAATGTAAAGAAAAAAAAATTGTATTTATATAAGAACTAATTGTGACCAGGGATTGAAATTTGACTCTCAATATTAAATATAAAAATGTATACGAACGATGTCGTCTCTCAAAACAGCATTCAGTAATAAATCTGACAACACTAGTCATCCAATGATTTTTGAAGTGAAACTTCTAATACGACTTCCAACAAGGTTGTGTTAAACGTATAACGCTACCATATTAGAAAGAAACAGAGCGAGAGTGAATGCGTGGCACTCGAACGCATGCGCGTTGTATAACCTGTTACAGGCCAGCGCGAGCGTTAGCAACGAGAATCATGCAATATTTTAATGAAGTATTTAAAAAAATATATATATTATTATATTTTTAATCTATAATTTAAAAATAAATAAATTTATATATATAATATAAATGTTGAAAATGTCGCATCTCTTATACACAGCAACCCCTATTACAAGAGCAATCTGATTTAAGGATGAAAAATGAAGAAAACCACAATACTACACATCGAAAAAGAAGTTTCACTTCATTCACGTGCACCGTTTGTTTTTAACTAATCAAAGACATTTGCTGTCGTGCTGGGAGCACCACGCCGGGGACATGGCGTCGGGCCTCAGGCCCCGGGCTATCAGTCTCGTCCGGAGCCTCTGTAGCCTCGGCTCTGCGCTGTACACTGTGGACGTCGGGTCTGACCACAGCCTCTCCGCCACTGCAGCCGCTCTCGGCCATACTCGGGTGTCTACATAGAGAAAGCAAATATCAACCAAATATAATGCTTCTGTATTGTATTTGACATAATTGGCATCTGCAATTAATTAGTCAACCAAGCAATATTAAACTCACACAAAATGTTTCCTACAACTACGCCTAATTAAATCGTTGATATTTTTTAAGGCACAGATAAATAGACAAAATTTGAAGACATGAGTGGATGAAGGGGTTAAGTACCACTTTTAAGATTTTTGACATTTTACATTGAATGAAGGTGTTATGTGCCTATAAAGCATATTAGACCTTAAAGCTACCAGATTAAAGGCCATTTTTAGAACTTGCATGTAATGAAGCAGTTATGTACGAAGAAAAAGTACAAGTAACAAATGTTTGTTGCCTGTTTTCTCAAAACTAAGAAATTGTATCATATCCCCTTCATCCACTCATGTCTTCATTTATATAGAGATGAATTACGGTCATATTCGACTGATCATCGCCAAATATGTGAATCACATACATTTGTAGAAACTACTCGCGCGCTACCTGTCGTGAACATGCGATGTTGCTATGCAGGAATAGTTTCATGAAGTTTCAATAAGTTCCGTTTCAATTGGTTAAACCATACCTACCCTCTAAATAGCTACATTGTCTAGAAACCAACTTACCTAGGGCCTGAGCGTCGCAGTACTCCGTCCACATGGCCACTTCACCGCCTAACACGCCTTCGTCCCGTGGTAGAGTGTGAGCATACATCCTTCTCCAATTGGAATATACCGTTCTGCCCCAGAAGCCATGGTCCAAATACCAAATGTCCTTCGGTACTGAAACAGTTCTATAGCCGAGCCTCAAGAGTTGGGTCAATAACGGGCTGTTCAAAGGCTCCCAAACTTCAATGATGTATCTGTAAGCACGATAGTTTTATATTATACCCATATGGGAATATTTTATATTATTCCCATGGTAATAAATAGAGAATAATTAGTGTTAATTTTTTTAGTAGCTCCAATCTGAATAAAACTACGACTCTGGCCTTTAAAATGGAATCCAGTACTATTTCGCTAAAGGAATAGGCAACATAGTCATTTATATCCGAGCGAATATGCAATATGATTTTACAAGCAGCAATAACCCTTAGAGCGTGAACCGTCGATAGATCGACTCTCTATTACGACGTATAAAGTGCGGAGCGTCGAAATACTGAATGTTTGCGCAGTTTGATTATAGCTATTAGGTATCGACCTGTACGGACGTGAAGTTAGCATCGATTATAAGATAGTTGTTATCAAAACTCTTTTAGCACTTTCTGCAAAATATGCGAATATAGCTGACCACTAAAAAGGTTAAATACAATTTTATACACGATAAGACTAATGAAACCTGTTCCACTGAGACTAGCTAAATATGCGATGCTAATTGTAAGTGTGAGAAAAACATCGATTTCTTGAAGCTACTAGAGTGCCACCTAGTGCCACCATTACAGAAAGGTCCCTTTGTTTTGTAGAAAAAGCTTATCTTCTATTCTATCGTGTTTTGAATACGTTTTCTTTATTCGTATTCAATTTCAATTCATCTGCTGTTTTTACTGCAGATTCAATTTCACGAAAAGCTCAACCACTGATTCAAAAAATAATGATACTCGATGATGAAAAGTTAAAGTAAAGAAAAAGCCATTGAAAACATGCCCGACCTTTCTTTGTCCAAGTGTTGCGAGATCCTCTGAGCCTGTGTCAGTTGCGAAGACCATAACATCACGGGCTGTGGGTCCAGTCCTTTCGCGGAAATCTCTTCGTCCCAAATTTGAAGGGCTTTGTTATGGAATTCGCCCCACAACTTCATGAAACCTTCTTCCGTCGTATCGTATCCTTGGTCTTTCATGTACGAGATAATTTCTTGGCTCGAGTTCCAGCACCCGAAGTAAACCTACGATTTAATCTTCTCAATATTAAAGCTCTTAATTGTTTAATTCAATATTCCCAATGTTCTCTTTAACTTTAGTAAGAACTAGTGCAACATGACCTCATTGCCTCAGACTATTATAGCGAAATGTTTAACAACCAAATCAATTGTTGATACCAATTTTGCGCCATTCATCATACCAGAAATCTTCCTGATCATGAAAAGTTCAAGATTTCAACTCAATTATATCACAGTAAAATCATCAGCCATTTTATTTAACAAATTTAAGAATGCCACCTTCAAAAAAATGCAGTATTTGAGGATTGCTCTTATTTGATAATCCTACTAATATAATAAATGTGAAAGTTTAGTCATTGTGTTTGTACGTTTATTCTAAAGAAATTTAAGTAAGGCCAATTGTATTTTGCAAGCATTTTGGCTTATTTCACAGATTACGATTTATAATGCAACCTTAAGAATAGCTGTGGTTGAAAATTACCATTAATAAATCGCAGGGCCGAACGATTAAAGTGCCAAGATTTATCTGGGTTGGCTGTTTGGTTCAATTGCCCAAAACCTGCAAGTGCTAGCTCAAAATAATAAATAGTACAATATGCTGTACACACATTTATGTATAAGCAGCCTTTCCCAAAGTGGGCGATAACGCCCCCTTGTGGGCGCTGTAGGCCTAAAGGGGGGTGGTAAGAGACCCAGAAAAAAATGGAGGCGTTATGTAGTGGCTTGGGAGGCGATTTGTAATTTCATCACTCTGAGACACCGACTGAGTTCTCGCTATAGTGGTTTTTGAAGTTGGTGAAAAAATGAGGGGCGCTAAAAAATAATTTATTCTCAAAGTGGGCAGTAGACAAAATAAGTTTTGGAGCCCCTGGTATAATGCAATAAATTCTAGCGATTTGGGTGATATAGTTATAATATAGATGGCTTTTTTATCGTGTTCTCAAAGATCAAAAGGCTTTGTTTCCAACGTAGTTTGGTGTGTTTCTTTTACCTAGCCTTCAACCTTCAAGAATAAGCCGTTAAGCGAAAATTACCTCGTCTCCTCCCATGTGTAGCAATGGCGGTGAATTCAGCAGATCCGCAACATCTTGGTACAAGTTCCTCAGCACCCGGTACATGTTAGGGTTCGCTGGATTCAGTTGACCACAAGGAGGTTCGATGCAAAGATGTCTCCAGGGGTACGCGTTAACGCATACCGCTAAATCACCCAAGCCGTATTCCTGGAATTAAACATTATCCATGACTTAAGTTAATCAGAAGTGTATGTAGCCTTCGCCAACAGCAGAATCATAAAACTCCGTTCACAGTATTTTGGCTTAGATTAGAATCAGTATATTTTTTGCGTAAAAACAGACTTGTACCGGTTTGAAAGCAAGGATATCTCTGTTTCAATCACTAATCCATACCAATATTATAAATACGAAAGTAACTCTGTCTGTCTGTTGCGCTTTTATGCCAAAACTACTGAAGCGATTTAAATAAAATTTGTTTCACACATAGTCTAGAACCTGAGAAAGGACATGAGTTAATGTCGTTTTTAATACGAAAAAAGGGTTGTAAAGGGCTGAAAGTGGGAAATAAAAAGTTGTATGGAAGTATCAATCAAGTCAATTTCAGAGTTAAAAGCTTGAAACTTATTTTTGAAGCTGTGGATTCGATATAAATATAATAAATATGACACTAAGCTTACAGATCAGAATAACACATAGGCTATAATTGATAAAAATATAGAGTGAATTACCCAAAATATAACGAAAGAGGAAAATAAAAAGGAAAAATCTGCCATCTGCGAGCTATTTTTGCGTGGACTGCAAAAATCGTTGGAGTTACACGTAATATATATAAATATAAATATATGATATAAAATGGAAATGTTTATCTTAAATAGTCCTAGAAAAAGCCCGTAACAGCATATATCTATCTTTTATTTGAAAGCCATTATCACCAAAATAGTGATCACTAAAAGAAGAGGAAAGATTAGATTTTTTTGTTTGTTACGTTCTTTTTTATTATCTTTTTTACTATCAGGACCAGATTTATATAAAATTTAATTCAATAAGATGAATAATAAATTACAGTTCCCGAAGCACAGCGAGAGCGGGCCGCTGATTAATTATAAGTAAACCTGTTCGATACACTTTGATACCCGATCAAGTAATTGTCTTTGTCAAAATTACTTAGCATTCGAAGTCTGGGGGCAATGAGTTCTTATCTCGTATGTAATTTTTAAATACCCAAAAATTAAGTGAAAATAGTATGGATTTGTTTAATATTCGCCATATTAGGTATGAAACCTTAAAACTGTTTTAGAAAAAGAGACAGTTTTTTTTTTGTGGATGAGTATCTAGTATTGGCAATGATCTGACTTATTAAGAATATGATACAGATCAACCGACAACGACCTCTGCAAGATATAATGCTATGTATTATTACTAAGCCGTTTCTTTCAGATATCTATAACTTACTCTTGTTCAGATTAGATAGACATTAAAGTTTGAAATGGATGGATATATAATATCATCAAAACGTCCATTACCTTAGCATAGATAAAGACACTTGATATTTAAGAGTAAGTAAGGTTTCTTATTAATAGCATTAACTTGTGGGAATAATGAGATACTAAGGTGTTTAGACAACAAACAGCTATTTTAATCTCTTTCTAACGCTAACAGCGTTACGCGGAAGATCTGCCATTCGGTCTGTGTTTTCTGTATCAAAAACACTCGAGTCAACTGACTCGGTGGTGCAGTAGTTAGTGGCTTTGACTGTGGCCCCATAGGTCGTGGGTTCGATTCCCACGTCGAGCAAACCATCGTGTGATGAACAGGTTTGTTTGTTAATTGTCTGAGTGCTCGTTATCTATATATGTATATATTTAAGCGTATATAAGTATGTATGTATATAAGTATGTCTCTAGAACCCTTAAAACACATTATCTTAAATTGAGACCCGACCGTGCGTGATCTGTTCATAAAAAAAACACCTGTAATGCTAAAAGCTCTCTTGACAAATGAATGAAATGCGTTTATTTCAGGCAACTTAAGCCCATAAAATTTCACAGACAATTACATACAATTTAAATCAAAATATAATAAAATTACAATTTATGAGAATATTTAAAAAAAAAAAATTGTAAAATTGTACTTCTTACAATTCGCGTTCGAGCTTTAATTATGTTGATGTAACTAATACGAAGTACCCACCCTTCCCCATTGCCATCCGTTTCCTGAATGCGCCGGCGCGTCTATTTCAATGACGACTCGAATGCCGCGTACCTTCGCGTAATGTATCAACTCTCGAATTTCTTCCGTCGTGTACATTTCGCTGCCCGAGTAGGCGCCATATCTGGAACGAAAATCCCGATTTTTGAAGTGATAACTTCTTATAGGAGGGCAAAGCGCTTCGTTACGTAACACGTTACGGTGCCAGTCTGTCTGCTTCTCTTTCTCTCACGCATACGGCAGCGGTACTGAGAAAGTATGTAACTTCTATTTATATATCTTTTTTTAATTTATGTTAAAAAATCTTACATTATTATATTTATTACATAAAATTTATGTAATAACCTAAGCTTTTCTCAATTTAAGCAATTTCAATATTAAATAGTTTAACTTAGATTAGTTTAGGTTATCACTTCTGTCGGTGGTCCCGAGATACACACGTTTTTTTTTTTTTTCACTTTAAGAATTTCCGTTTTTAAGAGTTGCTTAATAGATATATTTTTCTATTTAAATAGAAGTTAACGAATACTTTCAAAAAGTCTCATTTTTGCAATTGTATCGAATGCAGAGAGAATTTTCGGCAAGAAATTTAATAAAAGTCAACTTTTCTGAGCATAGATCACACAGCTAATTAGAATTTATTTTAGTGTGGGGCACAATTCCAAATCTACGCAGTACTGTAATTCACACGGTACCTACTTATAGTGAGTATAGTGTAGGTAAACAAACCAGACAAGGAAGACACATTATTAACATATATGTATGTATTACCTTGTAAACTGTGGCACCCGACTCGCTTCCAAAGGAAAACTGTGAGAATCGGTGGCATGCCAATGAAAGACATTCATTTTTGTTGTCGCCATACCATCGATAGTTCTTTTAATGTCGACCATCGGTATAAAATGTCTAGAAGTATCTAGAACTAAGCCTCTATGTTTATAGATCGGTCTGTCACGAATCTTAGCACCGGACACGAGGACCAAACCGCAATGTTCCACATCAGAAAAGTCACGTTTGTCTGACGATATTAATTGAGAGAAGGTCTCTAAGCCGTGACGAGCTCCGTAAATGGTTTCTGCTTCTATATGGACAGAGACTTCTCCTCCTGAAATCACAGTATTGATATATGCTAAATATATGAAATTTTCATCTTATATTCTAGCTTTTAGCAAGATATAATTGCTAATAACAAATTTAGCGATTGTAGTTTTGTTATGTTTCTGTTCCATTGTTTGCATTCCATTGCGTTGATTGCAATTAGGCTTTCATTTTATTTTAACATGCACATTAATATTGTTTCAGAACGAAAATAAAATTATCATATCACACAATTCACTAGCTCACCTCTGGTTTGTACGTCCAGCATGTATTGTTCGTCAGTGTTCCAATTCAACGAAGTGATGGCAGTCTTCACCACGATGATGACAACGACCTGAGTGTCCACCACCTCAGTGACGTGTCCTCCGCACTCAGCCAACAAGTTGTTGCTTATCACTTGCGTCATTTCCACTAATAGCTCCCTAGTTTCTGCAGGCACGTTGAGCAGATCATATCTTAAATTTAAAAGGTATTCAATACATTAATATCATTGGAATATTGATATTCAATACATTAATATCATTGGAACATTTATTCCAATTCAAATATGTTGATGCTATGTAATACGGTAGATTTCGTGCTTGTGATTTCAGTTTTTATGAAAACCATACCTGGCTGAAAGAGACAGTCGGCGAAAAGTTTATTAATATTATTTCCGACAATTAAAACAAAACTATCATGTTCGTAATTTCAGTTTAGTCAGTTTCTTGCGCTGCCCGCAATGTAGCACGTTGGAAAATCAGCTGATGTTAGAGGTCAATGACCTCATGAAGATCCAATGATAGTCTCCAATCCGTCTTCACTTAATACGAGCCCGTATAAAAATGAGTTTTTCTCTTGAGAAATGTACGTATTGACATAAATTTTTACCATTTTATCTTCGTGTTCATTGCTTTCTTATATTGTTTCTCAACAAACCGTTCGAATCCACGATCTCAACCTTACGATTGCTTTTTATTTAAATTGTTTTGCTGCTATACAGAAGACATATTCAAGAAATAGTTTTAAAATATAGACCCCAAAAAAAAAAGAAACACGTAAATTCGATTTTCGCTAAAAGTAAATAGTTATGAAGCTAGTTAAGCTAGTTATAGAAGTATGTTCCTTAAAACTGTGTGTTGCCAATATACAGGAATAATCGTTAACGATACAGCCGATAGTTACTAGACGGCTAACCTATAATCGATCGCTTGATAGTTTTTTCACGGCGGTCTCAATTAAAGCAAAAATGTTCCTAATATTTCTAAAGATGACCAGAAACTTGTAGGCAAACACAAATCGTCTTTTCGGATTAAAAGTGTACAATTTCCAAAAATATTCGAATTTGAGTTAATATGCGGAATCATTTGGTATCACCAGTATTTTTCTCATAAATACGGTCAAAAGAGCGTAGTTTAGTTTTAGTTTTTTTTAGTTTACCTACTACTTTTTAGTTTGACTACTATAACAAAATTAATACATTATTATATATTACTTTAAAAGAAAGATAATGTAAGTGGTAAAAAATAAATGTTGCAAAGATAATTAATATTAAAAATATCACATGTTAAACCTTTAAAACACTCTCCTGTAAAATTAGTAAGTTTTGAGATTATACAGTTTTAATGCGTGAAGACTAAATAACATTCTATTTACGTCCCTCTAGCCCTTACATTCTGTTCGAATGAAGTTAAGAATAGCCATTGCATTTATGATACCCGACTGAAATAACGCTATAATGGTATTTCGTTTCGATCGCGTCTGAGTTCGATGCACCGATAAAACCAGTTAAAGCACTCTATGGTAAAATAAAATTACAAATAAATTTAAAAAAGGATTCCGAGTACATACCTACTTTCTAAAATCGCTAATTATAAACAATCAAATCAAAATTATTGTGAGTATTAGAGAAAAACGAATGCATCTATCAAATTATTACTTTGTATGTATTGCAGTTCGGAATAATTTTCCAGCCAGTTAGTTAGCTTTACCAAGATATGTGGGCGGGTGTGTCAGAGCGCTCAAGAATTTTAAAACTAAAATATAACTTAACCGACACAATGAGCAAAACCGGCAAAAAAAAATACATCGCAAATAACCAAGATTAATTATTTACATAGTCAATAAAATCGGACGACGGATTAGGTATCGACAAAAAATTGTATTAAACATTAAATGGAGAGCGTGGGTTGAGATACCGTTAAAGATTTTTTAATGTCGTCAACCTCATAATCAGGTGTTTGAAGTCGCGAATTGAACACAAACATTAATATTGCAAACAAGCTACATAATATTTACTCAGTCATCGAGCAAATAGAAAATATATTGATTTATTACCAACGTTTATTGTATTCTATTAAAAACATTCTCACAGTTCATAATTGTTTTAATTTATTTGTGTATTTTACAATTTTCTAGATATATTGTGTAATGTTTAATGATGTTCATAAATCAATTGATTTATTAGCCCACGGAGCTTATAGAAATCACAATGTCAATACGCCGCTCATTTATACTTGGGAGTCGAAATCACAATAAAATTGTTTATAATGGTAACATTTATAAAATAATAGAGACCCTGATATGATATTGGTATCAATAAGGAAGCCAGGGACGAATCTGCGTTTGTCCTTGCATCGTCGTATATTGCGGGATAATTGGGTAATTTTTGATATATACACACCCTTAAAACTGAAAAACGTACACAACACAATACGTAAATTCTTATTATCGTAACACATCTGTTTATTACACTCATGTATTAAATTTTATGCAGGATATGTAAAAAGATAACTACTCGTCTTGGTGCTGTAAATTGTATACCTAAAGAAAGATATTGTGCCACCGATTATAAACAAAAAAATATTTATTTACATTTATAAAATACTAGCTGTACCCGTCCGCTTCGCTAGGCATTTAAAATTAACATTATTATTTCTCACCCCCACAAAGATTCTGATCATTAGCGCCCCCGCAACTGGTGTAGGAAGTCCAACACTCACATAAATATTAGCCTATCCATTAAGAACATGTATTTTCTACATGGATACCAAGTTTCAAGTCGATCGGATAGTTCAGTAGTTATAACAGAAAATCCGTAAAAACCACTGTAGATTTATATATTAGTATAGATTGTATGTAAGTTTAAGAATAAGATAGTCGATTTTAGGTCAAAGTAATCTGTCAACCTGTCACATATGATGCAATACACAGCGCCGATAATTTTAGACAACGTCTGTTTGACTAAATGCTCAATTAAAGAACTAAATCAGATCGTTGCCCAGGGGCATCATATGTGCCACTAATATCATAGGTTTTTGTTAACATTACATAGCTTGGTTGCTAGTTTTACAAAACACACACAATGAAGCGTTATCTCTATCGAGTACAGGAAACCCTCCTATACTATAACACGTACGTATTTTACAACACGGCTCCACTCTGACACAAAAAGAAAAATTTAGCAAAATCCTCTTTTAATACGGTCCTTTTGCAACACGATAACAAGATTTTTGTTTAAAATTATTTAGAAAATTGCATTATGCACTATGAAGACATAATTTATGGGAATAACCAAAACTTTACTGCTTATTTTTTGTGCATAACTAGCGGACCCGACAGACGTCCTGTGAATGCATACACAAAAATTCATTCAAGCCGATCCAGCCTTATAGATAAAGAACCTAAATACCGACTGCAACGCCATTTGCCGGGCTGATTTGTGAATCTAAACCATCCATGGTGCCACCTAAACACATATAAAAAACATTCAAATCGGCTCAGCCGCTTAGGAGGAGTTCAGTGACACACACACGTACAGTAGAATTATATAAAACATACAGACATAGTTGAGATTTTTCATCCAGAAAAATTACTCTCCTTTTTATACTGGCTTCTAGTCTCATAGAACACGGCTTCGCACAACACGGGGCTTTGTAGGAACGTATTTACCTTGTTATAGGAGAGTTACCTGTGATCTATCGATCACTTTAAGTGGCATGGCAGCTAATCGGCACTGACTATTTTTTTTAGTTGATTAATTGAAAAACAATTTCGAGGAAAAGGCTATTTGATTACAGAAATAAATTTTTAACGAAAACTAATCTTTAACTATCAATGTTTCTATCAAAAGGTTTGTCCTTGTCCTTTGTTTGTCCTCAAACGTGGTTATGATTGGCTTTATTGAAACATATACTTTAGCCCTTTATTTTTATTTACTTTGTGCACGAGAAATGTTTTTGTTATGATCTTATTGATAACTTCAAAACACTTTTCTAATTTCATCTCAAAGCATGAAGGTGGACATCACTTGAGCATAATGCAGTATAGCAATCCGAACGTGGTTTCAGAGATTTTGTACTTGATTTTTAAAAAAAATGGAAATTATTTTAAATGAATGTGTTATATTGTTAAAAGGAGTACATACCATGCTATTTTGTTAAAGCAACGGTACCACTTTCTTAATGTCACTGATGATTTCATCACCTTAAAAAGCAATGATGTTTTCAATGAATTATATTATTTAAGAAATGTGTTTCTTAAATTAGTCTATATCTTTTAAAATATTAATTGGAACGGAACTTTTTTTAAAAAATGCCCATTGCTTCACTTACCTAAGTCGTTATTTTATAGATTCACTGTGTCAAATGGTATGTTGCAATGTAATGTTTCAACGAAGAGTTATGTCGATGACAATTGAATAAAATTTTTGCTTAGATACATGATCTACGTTCTGCGTTCTAAAATATTCTTTAAAATGTTTGTTTATTTTACTATACAAATGATTTGATTATTTATTATTATTCGTAATAAAATTCGATTATTCGTAATAAAAAATAAGATACCTAACATCGAAAAGAACTTGTCTATGCGCTCCAGTTTAAGTATATTGAACGCAGTGTTCTACTTAGATCGGCTTATCTGGGTTTGATAAGTTAAAAATCGAAATTTCTCTTGTTAAGTTTCTCTCGCTTGGAGATGACTTGTCCTTATTTCATTAAAGCTTTATCAATCTATTAGAATGGCAATACAAGCTTTAACATTAACTAGTGGTCCCGCAGTAGTCGAAATTCGACTATAATTAATTGGAATTGTAAGTTTGTACACTACTGTGATTGTATTTTATACTTCTATAATCACAAATTTCGCCAAGACTACACTATAAAAAATATTAATAAAGACAAAAAATATTTAATCTATTCTCAATTTGACAACAGACGTCAAGAACAAAAGTTTGACGATAAATAGTATGCATGCGTGTGTGCGTCAAATACATGGTATGTAGTGTGTGTAATGTTTTCTTTATTGATTTAATGAACCTATCTTTTATGCATTATTTAAAAAAAATATTAGCATTGTGCACTTCTTCTCTATATTCTCTACTAGCGACCCGCCCTCGCTTCGCTTCGGAAACATTAAAACAAACATGAAACCAAAAAATAAAATTAAAAAAAGTAGCCTATGTTCATCAGGGACA